ACGACTTGAAGGCATCAAACGCAGAAAAGTCTGGAAAGATTGCCCAGCTTGAAAGCTCGAACGAAGAGGCCTCCAAGACGATAAAAAATCTTGAAAGCTCTGTGGGCGAGGGTGAAATCGCTAGAAGAGACATTGAGAAATCTAGAGACAATGCCACGGAGAAAGCGAAGAGCCTTGAAACCGACGTCAAGGCCAAAGACGAGAGTATTGATCAACTCAAGACTCAGATCACCCAGAAAGACGAGTCGATTAAAAAGCTTCTGAGTCAGTTGAAGGAAAAGGAAGAGTCTATCAAGACAATTGAAGGTGACCTCGACACCAAGGTAAGTGAAATTAAAGGCCTCAAGGTAGGAACTCAAAAGCGCGACGAAGAAATTTCGCAGCTCCATAGCACTCTTGAGAGCAAGACTGAGGAGTTGGAGAAAGCCAATGTGGAAGAGAAGGAGCAAGAGATTGAGCGCTTAAATGCTGATCTTGCGGGCCTCAAGACTGCTCTCGAAACTCTTGAGTCGAAGGCTTCAGACGATGCCGCGAAACTTGCCAATTCCGAAACATCTCTTAGCACTTTGCAGAAGGAGTATGAGGAGGTCAAGAAAAGCTTGGAAGAAACCAAAACAAACATCAGCGTAGTTTCTGAAGATTTGAAGGATGTCAAGGAGGAGTTGGAGCAAACTAAAAACAACACGGAAACTCTTAAAGAGAACCACGAGAAGTCCGTCAACGAATTGAAGCAAAAATTGGAGCAGGCATCTGTCGATCTCGAAAACCGGACTAGCGAGAACAATGCTCAAGAGAGCAATAACAAGAAACAAATCGAGGACTTGAGAAGTCAACTTGAAGCTTCCAAAGAGGAGTCTGAGGGTTTGAAACAACAGTTAAAGCAGTTGGGCTCACAGGAAGAGAAGGAAAATGAATTGAAGAAGGAGTTGGAGGAAAAGATGCTCGAGATCGAGAAATACAAGAAGACTGCTGACGTGATGAGAGCTGTCACGGCAAAATACAAGGAGCAGTTGGAAAAAGTGAAGAGCGACCAAGATTCCGATTCCAAGAGCGAGTAGATGCTGACCATCCGGTCAAGCTTCAGACGACCCTTGTGAATCCGTCTCTGTTTCATGCATACAATCACCCGGTTGGACTTGTTGTCATTCACTCCGAGCTGCGTCTAATGACCGCAGGAGAGAAACAGAAACGAGGAACCACATGTATATAGCAATCTAACTATGTCACAACTATCTTCGTACACGTACATGTTTTTTTCAAAGAAGTAACGGATATCATGCACTGAGTTTTTTATAGTCTACATTCCCGGTACGGTTGATTTGCACCCTAAGCCTGGTTGGTAGCGCACATAAGACGTCACAGTAAGCAATGCAGCGTGCGGCCGACAACTCGGCCTGACATTGCCTCAGTGAGGAGGAATTCCTGGTTATAGCACGGAAAACAGTGAGTGTGAAAAAATCTCCCGATAACGGAAAGCCGCGCAGTGTATTTTTTGTAGTTTCATTTAGCTTGCATCAAGAGCATGAGTAGCATTCGCAATCGCTTCCGCTCACGCTTCCGCATCCGCGTCCGCATCTGCACCCATAAGACTTTCGCATTTCTCGCTTACAGCAAAACAAAAAATATAAAAAAAAAATACCAAGAGATCTGGCAACTTAATCCCTCAGGGTATATACCACAGTGGCGGCCCGTGAAATCCACCCCGCTTCCACTTCTTGCTTCACTTCTTTTTATCTGTAGCAGTCTCTGTTGCCAAGACCTAAAAATGGCAAATGGAGACACCCGCAGCCTATTTTGAGTGAGTGATTCCCCAGCTCTGTTCCCCTGATTGCTCTGCTCATCCACTGCGACCTTCATATTACTCGCAACGACTACTTCCTCACATGAGGCAAAAACATACGCTTTCTGCATGCGGGAATCACGGGCGTCTGTACACTTTACTTGCATCCCTTATAACCTTCCATTCTTTTCCCGTCGTTCTGCTCAATTCACCCTAGCATTGATCTTCAATTTGAGACCTCACCCAACAAGATTCACTATCGTGTCAAGACAAACATCAACACAAGCCTCATTCTTTTCCTGTCGTTACGCCCGGCCAAATACACCGGAATATCTTAGGCGGCCTTTCAAAAGCGTGCCAACAATCGTACTACATTAAAAGTCCACAGCACCCAGGTCACAAAATCAAACAGGGGATATTAAAGAAAAAGAAAAAAAAAAGTCCGCAAACAACCACAGGTACTTGCAACCCCACTTCTGCTACCCCTGCCTCACTCTCATGCCCTAGTCACAATCAGATTCTCCCCACTGCAGCACATCCTTACACGCAAATATAACCGTTGCATAGAGTATGGCAATACTCAGAGGCCAAATAAAACTGTCAAGACTGCTACGGAGCATTGAACTGGAAGGCTCCGGAACTACCATGTCTCCTCTGTCTGAGACGCTGCCCAAAAAACAGGTTCGGAAACTGAACACTTTACTGACCCTGTCTACCCTAGAAAACAAAACCGAGCACCAGGAGAAAATCATCAAGCCCTTGCTCAAGCTGTTCAAGCGACTCGAGACGGCTTTGGGCAAGTTTGACGGCAAGCAGAATGGAATCACAAAGACCAATGTTCTCCGCACTGTCGTGCTTCCTTTCCTCCGGCTGCTGCCCCCTTTGCACTCCCTCCTCAAACCGGATTCCAAGCTTTATCTCAGCTTTGCCAGTATTTCCACGTCTGTATTGGGGCTCTGGTGGCGCCTGCTTCTATCATGTTTGAGCGCCACTGGCGTCCTGCAAATTTCCGCCACAGACCGAAGCGCATACCTCGAATGCATCTCTCGGATATTCACCCGCATGGAGTGGCTTCAAACCGACTCACAGGCCACCGAGACATACACAGCGTGTCTCACCGACACCCTTGATTTTTCCATCTCGCGGCTTTTATCGTTGAAAGTCGTACCGGTCTCAATATCGGCCTTTGTGGGAAAAGTTTTCGCCTATTCATTCTTTTACCTCCCAGGTGCTTGCAACGCGTTACTCTTTCTTTTGAATGTTAAACAAAAAATTCTAGACAAGCTGTCCCTGGCTTTTCTGCTGAAGGCACCCGGCTCCAAGACCAAGGCTGTCTCAGTCTTCCCCCAGCATGTGATCCACTTGATCGATTATAAAGGCCTTCAAAATCTAGAGAGGGTCAAACGAGGTGCAATCAACTGTGTTGCTCCTCCAAGACAGCCTGTCAAGGGAATCCGTGACCCTTCCGGGCCTTGGGTGAGACGCTGGTGCACCGGCGATATCGACATATTCAATGCATTCTTCCGTCACTACATTAACATCGTGCATGCTTCCATCGAGAACTCATCCATTGATCCTTTAGATGTACCCCCCAGCTTATTTCCAGGGTTTCGGGTTGTCACATCATTCATCTATCAGATCATATTGGTTTCGATCAATAGAATACTGCATCCTAAGGCGGCTCCCAATATTGGACTCAATACTCAGCATGCCCCATCTGCAATCCCATTGCAAATTCTGGGCTCTACTAAAAGAAGTGCCTCTGGATCTGGAATTCCTTCCTCGAGTCTCCCCTTCAAACAAACTGATAGCAACTATGCTTCAATCACCAAGATATTTCGAAGCGTACGTGATATAAGCTACTCCCTGATTTCCTTTTCCAATACACTCACTGGAATTGTGGACAGGCTCTTAGCAGATATTGCCAAATCGATAGGGTTATACGATGTCAACAAAACCAGTTTCTTGCTAAATTTGGTCTATGAATACTCCATTCATGTTCTACATGCATCTGATATGGATTGGGAATTTTGGCTTGGTTGTTGTTATCTCATGTTGACTAATACTTATCATGTGCAGATTATCACCAGAAACTTTGCATTCTTATTTAATGTGTGGGATAAGATACCAAACTTGCTAGATGGTGGCCTGGCACGGTCTCACTACTGGCTAGTAGATCCTTCCGAAAGTATGAAAGTGAATTTTTCAAATTGGCTCACATCAAGTTCTGTATGGATTCTTTACTTTCCTCATTGGAACCCTTTAGTCAGATCTCACTACCTTCGTTTGCTAGCATGGCGAGTGATTGGATTCAACAATTTCGAGACATCAAGTGCCGTTAGAACAACATGCCGAATCAAGCAAAAATCCGACTTCATTTTTGATGAGTTGTGCAAAATTTTGGCAGCTGATGATTTACCAAGCTCCTTGACAATGATGGACTTCACTCCGGATCTGCCAATAGTCAATCGTAAATTTGGAATTGTGCCTATCAATCAAAAAAATTCCTACATGGAGGGGCCATCGTCTCTTGTTTCTGTTTCTACAACTGCAAAACACGGCGAACTCCGCAAAACACATCCATACGAAATACTCGATGAGGCCGTGTACACATGTACTTCTTTACCCATCTCTCCTGGAATGTCAATAGCAGGAGACTTAGATTCGACGGCTCAGCCAGATATGGACGGAGATCGCTCCATAATTGACTCTTTGAGTCGATTTTTCAAACTGATGTCGACAGACGATGCTACAGGAAGAGATTCTTCGACTATGGCTCCTCCCAAAGGACGAGGAAGTGTCATACTAGGAGCGGGAGTGCCAGGAAAAAGAAAGCTATTTTCCAAGTCCATGACATCTTTGTCCCTGGCTCTCTCAATGAAGTCCATATCGTCTAGTACGAGTATATCTTCTTTCCAGTCTTCGCCCAACTCAGCAAATGATCAATCCACAGAATCTTCAATCACATCTGACTCTGAGTCTTCACTTTCTGATTGCGCAGTTGGCTCATCGATCTCGACATCGTCCTCAAATTCCTTGAATAATCAACCCCCAGAACTTATTAAGATCCTTCCTGAGATAGTGCGACCAACTTTTAAGCTTGAGATTGTGTTGGATCACGGGTTAGCATCTTCTAAATGCTCAAGAATGCAAGAATCCAAATGTTCGTGGAACGGAAGGGTATTCTACGGCAGTGAGACAGTGCCTAACTTGTCCTATACCACTCTACCCAAACCGCCGAAGATCCCGTCAGTGTCTATTTTTTTGAACTCTGATGCCTACAATAAATTTTTCATCACCAGAGAAGACTACCAAGTTGGAGAAGAAGTCTTGACTTCGGCAGATCACGAAGATTTCAAGGTTTATTTCGAGCAGATGACTGGCAGACTAAGAGATCATACAAAACTTGCTACACTAGGTAAGGCATTAAATGAATGGAACGCAATCGTGGATGAATTTGAAAGTTACTTGTTTGACAAAGTAGAGGCTGACCAAATCAATTATTTACCTATTGTTTCAGACGGTGCAGGAGAGGCCGTCGCCTCCAGCGAAATTAGTGAGGAGGAGTATTTTACACGCATAATTCCGCTTCTGCCTATCGACAACTTCACTGAGCTGAAGTTACTCAATGCTTCATGAGTCAAGTAGAATGCGATTTCCATTTTATAAATTTTTATCTCAATGCAACTTTCATAATGTCTTTTTAGTCCGGATATCCTCTTCTTCCCGGAGAAAACGCTGCAGAAACGCAACCGCAGAAACAATGCAGAAGAAGGAGCTCAAAACCCAGAAGCTGCCTGCGCCGATGAATAAACTGGAATAGTAGTAGTTAACGAGGTAGTAGCGAAGTCCGTCCCACTCGATAACAAAATCAAGATGCGTCTTGCGTGAATCAAGAAATAGAAAGTTCATTTTTTCAAGTGTCAAACTAGCCTTGTTCCCCAGAAGAGCAGCAAGAATTTCGTGTCCTTTAAGTTGAATTAGCGGGTGGTCAACACGCACCAATTTCAATACATCGACAAAAATTGGCGGGACCCAGTACCGCAAGTTATATGGAACCCAATTGTTTTTCTCCACGTAAATGTACCTCGAGTCACAATTAACAAGGAGCCAGTCCTGTACTTTGAGCTCGGGGCAAAGATTGAATGAATACGTGAGCGACTGGTGGGCTGTTTCGTACTTACAGATCGCATCTAGGTTTAGACGGACCAGAAAAGTGAGGTTGTCGTTTGCTTGCAAAAAGGCCCGGACACCCGTGATATCTATGTCTGTTATCAAGGAGGGTTTCATGATGGGGCCTATCTCCGTGAACTTTGTTGGTGTTTGAACGCGTTCCACGGGAATAAGCATCCGATAAAAACTAAGATAAGTCATCAATGAAATGGGCAAAAGCACGAGCAAAAGAGCCACAAAGAATATTCCCATGTATACAAGTTGCCTAGTAATGAACAAGTTTACACGGAGAGCCGAAGTCACGACCGGCCACATTGGTATGTCGAGTTATTGAGGGATATCGTACTGCGATAGGTTTTGAGAAGTGTTCATGGTGCCAGAGCTGGGGTCTATGAAGGCCTGTGCGACATGAGAAGCGCAGAGGGCCGCCGTGGTTATGAGCAACGGGAGCAGACGACAAGAAGTATTGATGCAGTAAAAAAATATATATCGAATAAATAGTACAGCCGCATTTGTATATAGAGTCTACTGGCGGTAAACGAAACCAACCCGGAGCAAGAGCCTGGCGCCATGGACGCCCGAAAACCAGTGTCGCGGCGAGCGCTTTGGCAGCGGCGTCCTCGAAGTCTGCTCCGCAAGTGAAATCCACGTTTATAACAATCTATGAACATTCGACTGCTGCCAGTGTATTTATGGGCTTCCTTTCCAAAATGACCGAGTATGAGTATCCTCCCAGACCTTAAATCGAAAGTGTGGCGAAATAAAAAAAAATAGAACAAGTAAAACACACTTTGAGGATGCTATGCAAACAGGCTGGGGATACCAGAAATGCTAGAATATGAGGCTTGTGCCAGGCAAGAGAAGGGCACTCGAGCCTGGGTCCACCAGGAGGCAGTGACGCTTCTCAGTGCGTTGTGTGCCCCCTATGATACTTCAACCCATTCAAGTTTTTGTATCGCTTGCCACAGACTTCACATCTGTAAGGTTTGTCTTTCTCCATTCCAGCCCCATCGAGGAACGGGGTGTTGGACTCCGGGTCTATGATGGAGATGGTCCCGTCCTCGTTCTCCTTGAGGGTCTGGTTCTGATGGCCATGCAAGCGGTGGTACTTCAAGCCGTTCTGGTTCTTGTACGTCTTCTCACACCCAATGACGGGGCACTTGAAGGGTTTGTACTCCTCGTTCTCCATGACGTACAAGTGGCGGGCCGGGTCGTCGATGTACATGCTGTCGTCCTCGCCGAGCTGCTGGGCGGTTCTTGCGCGAGCGGCGCCCCTGTCTTGCAGCGAGCCCTGGTGTGTGAGCAGGGGGGGCACGCCCTGGGGCCGGGCAGGCTGGTCTGGGCCGCCGGTCATGGTCAGGCTGGGCAGGATTGTCTGGTTCAAGTTGCCCAGGGCGAGGGCGTGCTGCTGGAGGTTGAAGTGGTTGGCGGGCGCGGCCATGTGCCCCTGGGCGTGGGGCATCTGGGCGTGGTTGTTGAGGAAGACGTCGTTGGTGGAGACGGTTTCCATCACGTTGTGGATGCTGTTCATGTTGTTGCGGCTGTGATGGGAGGTGAGCAAGTGGGCGCTGGGGTCCGCCGGCGGGGAGCTGGATATGTGGGCCTCCTCGTAGTGCCGGAGGAGGTCGTGCAACGTCGGGAGGAGCTGGTCGCAGCACGAGTAGTCCTTGCAGTAGTCGGCCTCCAACTTGGGGAGGTAGCTGGTGGTGTTGGGCGGGGACATCAGCATGTGGTGGTGCGGGTGCGCCGGGTTGACGTAGCGGAACAGGCCGCGGCGCGGGTTGATGAGGCTCGCGTGGTGCGCCGCCGGCTGGTGGGCGCCCTGCATCATGACCTCGTCCTTGAGCCACGAGCCGATGGTCACGGAGCCCCAGGACACGCCGCCCATGCCCTGCGAGTGCGCTATGGACTCGCGCCGGAACCGGTGGCTGTTGAAGATGGACGGCTGCCGCTGGTAGGTGATGTCGATGGGCTGCGGCACGTTGAGGAAGGCGTCGCCCGCCGGCGCGTCCTGCGGCGCGGACGAGTTGTCGAAGATCCCGGTGTTGAACATGGCGCGGGATTTGGGGGGGGAGGAGGGGGGCGGAGAACGCCGCCTGGCAAGATCCGGAGGCGCGGGAGGCGGGGCTAGCCGGGCGCGCGCTGGCGAGTGCGGTGCGCGGCGGCCGGGGCGAGGACGCAGCGGGTAGCGGCTGGGGCCCTAGCGTCTGGGAAAAACTGGCCTGCGCGCGGAAGGCGAATCAGGGGACGGCCAAAAGGGGAGCGACCAAAAAAA